CCGAACAAAACTCTCCAGGTGGTACCTATATTAATATATTAGTACGTAAACGTTTTATCATTTTATACGTTTATGAAACGATTTTTATCTATACGACAATATAATATGTATCATACAATAATAATATAAGTATACAATTAATACGAAAAAACAAACTATTCATTCATACGTGTAAAAAAACAACACCGCTTTTTTTCTGTTCACGAACACATTGAAGGTTCTTCGTATAGGTACAAGATGTACGTCTCATCATAATATTATAATACATATTATGATATATTTTTTAAAAAAAAACTTAACAAATAATAACGTAAATTAATATTTATTCATAATTCATATTATTATATCCGCCCTTTTGGTAGACATAATGAGTTTCACGTACAAATAAAAAATAGTGTTTTTTCATTAAAAAAATTGTATCATGCAAATTAGGCATCTGCATTGTGAAAAGAATAATTATTTAAGAGTATTTACTCGGATAATTTGAGACGACATTCATCAAAACCTTACAATTCATAACGCGTTAATATGATACCTAACATTTGTTAGTTCCTTTTCGATGCAAACCTTAAATCTGTGTCTCAAAAAATACCCTGTACTCAACACAACAATATGTAACGTGTGAACTTCGGGTAAGTTAATGTAACAAATACAACAAATTAAAATTGATAATAACATTTTTTTTTTTTTTATAATTATAATTATTATTATTATTGAACCTATATAACATATATTATCATATCATTGGTGGTTAATTGAAATAACACAAACATTAGGCCACTTAAAATTAATTGGTTATAATATTATTATCCTTCATTCGGCAAGAGATATAATATAACCTACCTATACCTACCTAAATTCGTTACGTCGAATGTACTAGCATTGACACTTATAATAGCTTAATTATAAATTTTAAGTTTTACACGCAGCTAATTCATATACTATGATATAGATATTCAATTAAATAATTTTGCTTGGAGTAGGTACACTACGATAAATTTACAATTTAATAAATTAAACATGAGGTTTTACTTAACATTTAAACAGATACGTATACCTCTAACCAAACAGGAACTTAACGATATTTGCACTTCCTATTCTGAACAGATTTTGAATTAACTTATTACATCAATATGCTGCTAGAAATAAAACACTATTTTATCTAACTAATATTCTTGTGTGCTCGATACATCCATGTAAGACCCTTGTATTTTGTAAACATGAGTTTTTTTTGGGTAGAACCCGATTGTATTTTGAGTGAATGAAATTACCTTTTTAGGAACACGAGTGCGTATATATTTTGACGAATTAGAAAGAAATTACATAAATATGATATAATTACGTACCTACTAATAACTGAAGTTGTAAAATTTAGAATTATACTATTTTAGAAATAACACGGCCGAATTAAATAATTCATCGACAGTTCAAAAAAATTGAAGCAAGTTCTAGCCTAGAATTAATTTTTACCCCTAGAAGTTCTAGGGGTAAAAATTAATTTATTTCACTCTCAATAATCAATCTCTTAATACTGTAGTAGTATAATAATGTAGTTCAACATCACTATGATAATTTTTGAAAAAAAAAAATGTTAAATTTAAAAAAATTGATTAGTATTGTGTATTATGGTTAGCTAAACACATGTTTCAACACACATTTGACTGCAGGATCTCCATTAATATTGCTACACGTGTTTGACGATGAACACTATAATATGTCTATATGGAATTGGCTGTTGTTCCTTCATCGCCTGCTATTCTATATAGATTTGTTTTATTTTGTAAGTTATATTTAACTGTAGGTACTATGTTTTGTACAATTTGGCAACATCACAAACAAATAAAATTAATTTTCGTACGAAAACGTGTTATAACTTATAATAAACGAAATACGCTCTACGAATACAGTGCAATCGCATTCTACCCACATTTTTTTTTAGCGTTAGTCGTAGTTACTAATGAATTATGATAAACTAGTGCCGGCTCCTACACTGGCAAGTACCTTGGTAAATCAAGAAAATAACAATCGCGGATCACAGTTTTCCAAATAACATTAACACAAGAATATTAATTTGAAAAATATTGTTTTTGAAGGGGACACCGATATAATATGCGGTTAGACATATTCTATATATATTTATATTATACGATAGTATTCTATAAGACATAATAATATATTATACACGCATAATATTATAACACACGCTTAAGGTACACACTCCTATAGTCCTATTCTTAAGCGCAGGCAATCTATATAATACGACTATATTATTATTATTATTATTATTATTATTATTATTATTATATAAAGCACTAAGGCTATTCGCTGTCTGTATTTATATAATATATTATACACGATTCACATGCGGATCCCGTTTAAGAAGAATATACGATTTCAAAACGTGTAGACGTTTATTATCATTATTATATTATACAGCTTTTAAGCAAAATATTTAATCATTACGGGGCGTAGGTATACCTATTCTTATCATATAATAATAATAATATTATTGCTATCATTATTATCGTCCCGAAATGATTTATCGTGGAATGAATTATCTCTCAAACGGGGGTGTGGGAAGGGTGATGGGGTTGAAGGGGGAGGATAATTAATTATATGACGTCTCACGCCCCTCAGCAGAGACGACAGCGGGTCCTTTCCTGCGAATTATTATGCCGTTTTAATAACCCGTGACAGCTAGGGTAGGTAGCTGTAGTAATTATATGATGAGGACAGCTAGTGAAATTCAATAATATTATAATATACACGATACACAAATAATAATCGGGGGCTATGTGGTACCGTTTTTTTTTTACAAACAGGAAAAATACCACCTCGGAATACATCGACAAAAATGTATGTATGGTATATTATATAGTATATTTGTAGTATAATATTATTATCGGATTCCGACTTCGTCAACACGATGTGTAAGAAAAAACAACCGCCGAGTGAAAAAATCAAACTTAAAAATAATAGCCTTGAATTAGGTGTGATATAATATAAAACTGAAACCAATAGTGAATCGTTTAATCTGTTTGAATAAAATCAGCAGGAAGCAAACTATAAATCTTATTTGCATTAGAAATATATTATGAATTATAATATATACATTAAAAACAGTTTGATACTTCTTCGTTGACTACAATATCAAAACGACAATATTGAATATAGTATCAATTTTTAGGATAAAATATCTCCTGACCGATTAAACCAAATTTGGGTCTATACATTTTATTATTGACTGAGTTTCCATATTTTTAAGTTTTTCTTTCACCCGGCATAATATATTATCTACACGGTATTGAAGAAGTAGTGTTTTAGTTGGTATATCAGTAGTTGTTTTTATAGTAGATGACGAATCCGCTGATGTGGCGTAGAACCATCGAATAATATTTACGCAGGTTAGTAATAACTAATTATATCTACCTATCTACGAAGCCAGGTAGATTGAACTTAATAGCAGGGCATGCATTTGAAAAAAAAATGTTGTTTAAATTTCCATAATATTATTTAGAATTATGCTTTATGACTAATTACGAACTACTGTGCAATCGACGTCATATTATACTCATATTATGATGTGGGGCCAAGAGGGTCAGGGTGTAATAAGTTGAATTTCTATTTGCTTTAAATGATAAATGAAATACCGATAATATTAAAAAATTAACAATAATATTTAGTTAGTAATACCGCATTAATGACCGAGATAGATAAGATAAAAATAAATCACGTGGAAAAATATTTCCACGAAACAAATATAATATAAAATGGAAAAAATATATTTTATTTTTATGATACAGAATTAATATAAAATGACTTTAATTATATTTTCGTTTTGCGTCATTTATTGTTTAAAATTATATTCTATATAAATATAGTTGTGCGTTATGTTTTCTTTAAAATGTTATTCTATATAATATTTTGTTTTGCGTCATTTTTTGTTTAAAATTATATTCTGTATAATATTTCTTTAACCATTATGTTTTGTTTTGTGGTATTTCATTTATTTTTTCGTTTATCGCGATTTATGTTTTAATTACGTTTTAAAATGTCAATCGTTTTTTATCTTGCATAACGTTATCATAACTTTGCAAGCCCTGCTTTATAAACATTATAAATTATAATATATATAGACTCTTTGCTATAATGGGTAGGTACCTATGTATATATTAATAATACCGCGATGGTATAAGCATCGAGATTCCGGGAAGACGTTTTCGTTTTCGTATTTTTTATAATAATATTATGTATGGTCGTCGACTGGGACCGGCTACGCAGTGGACTTCTGCGAAATATGGGGGAGGGGGAGGGGGCGTTTATACAGATTACAGATGACAATATCGAATGAAGATGTCAATATATATTTTGAAAATTATTTTTCTTGTAACTGCAGATAACGTTTTATCAACCAGTTACATTTAATAAGGTATCAGCTGTAATGTATGGCTCTATACAAATTTCCCGATCCATAATATATTGATACCTCTGCACGCTAACAATTCGCGGACCTTACGTTTTAGGCCTCTATCCCTTACGAAACAATAATATAAGACGTTTCAATATTTTTTTTTACTGTTTGGACGTGTTGCTTCGTATGCCGTGTGGTGTATAGTAATAAATTATTATAATATATTATAGTCACCCGGCCACGTGATTGCTCGGCCAATCAAATTCTTAGCTCCGCGCCACCATCGCCGACGCTATATATATATATATATATATATATATATATATTATGTATATGGACGTCTGCAGGTATATAACGCTTAACGGTAGGTAACCCTGATTTCATATAATATATTTATGTATATAATATGTATACAGAATATACATTATTAGATAATAATGTATACTAAAATATTATAATATGTATACTGTTATTATATACAGTACATATGCTTACATAATGTATGTATATATTATAGAAGTATACATACGACAATATTATTCTCGAACAACACGTAGGTATATATAACACGACGTATTTTAGCCTTAAACTAGAACAATGTTTCTTTAGACGCGTCGTACAGCGCGCGTAAAGACCCTGATAATGAGTTGGCGTTGACGATCGAGTCGGCCACGGGGTTGACGTCCGCCTGGACTACGATCACGTTCCGACCGACTGTGGCCGTCGGTTGCGGCGGCCTGCGGTTGAAATCGTGATAAGACCTGACCGCAGATACCGCGGCACCTCCGACTGTTGTAGGCGCGGCGCGATCGTCGTCGACCCGATGCGTACCACCGTTACCGCGGTTAGTGGTCGGCGGCGGCGGTGAGTATCGCCTCCCGCAAGATGCTGTAACCAAATATATTATGTACAGGGTGAGTTAGTAAGAAAATAATATTATTAACTCGAATATAGGACGGTGCTGATTAGTTATTTAACTCGCTATTGGTTTGAAGTTATGATATGGATAGAAATATACGAACTTGACTAGGTTTAAAAAAGTTCGTGTCTATACTTTTTCAATAATTAGGTGTAGAAGCTATACGTGGATCACATAATTTTTTTAATGTACTGTTGGACATACTTTTGATGAAAATAACACAAATATACGATGAGTATCGACTTTACAGGTACTTGATTAACATAGACTTTTAAGATTTCGTTGAATCTGTCTCCTACCATGTTTTGTGCCCAGAAGTAGAAAATCTTAAAATGAATCATTGTAAAATTGTGTTTGTTTATTATAATATATATTATATACCTATTTCAACTAAAGCAAAAAGGAAAACGATAAAAAGAATCTATAAGATTAGATAATTATATCATATAATAATTGTATCGTGTATCCAGCCCAAGAACAAATTTTCATGTGTTATCGCTTGTAGACTCAAAAACTACTTGACAAATGTTGACAAACATTTCAGAGATTGTTTTTAGAGATATCAGTAAAGTTTAGAGAGTAGTTTGAATCAAGTTCGAGAATAATATACCAAGTTCTATATAACATCTACCACAGGCAGATTGCCCATCTCAGTCGAATTAGTTCACAAAGCGAGGTACGATTTTCCATGAACTGAAGACGTCTGAAGTCTGAAACCGAGATACACCGATAAAGCGCCATATTTTATGTTTGTTCATTTTTCCCCGGGCCAAGTCAGGTTATACAACTAGTCTAATGACTATTATAATAAAATTTAATCAAGAAACATATTATTATACCGGGCGCATGTAAACTCCACCGATTGCGACCTTTTTAGACCTTTTTTCATGTAAACTCCACCGGTACGTTTTTTTTACCTGAAAAAAAAAATGTAAACTCCACCGGTACATTTTTTTTACCTGAAAAAAAATGTAAACTCCACCGATACGTATTTTTGACCTGAAAACACGTATAATTATTAATAATAATTAACAATCATTTTTAAAAAAAAATCATATAAAAATCAAATAGCAAAAATAGAAAATTGAAAAATATATAATTATTAATTAACAATAATTTAAAAAAAAAATCATATAAAAATCAAATAGAAAAAAATAGAAAAATCTATAATTATTAACATTACGTTATAGGTAATACGTTCCTACATAATTTATGTACAGATTTATTATTTATATATATTATATTTAGATACTTATATCTTTTTTTACACAATATTAAAATAAATGATATAATAATAATTAAAAGTGATCACTAGTTCGTAGTTAAAAAAATGTTAATTAAAATAAATGAATAAAAAAAAAATTACTTAAAGAAAATTTAGGTTTTAAAAAAATTTGTTTGGTTTTAAAATTTGGTTTGATAATGTTTAGATGCAGCTTTGAGGGTGTCTAAAATATTATAATCTGCAAATTGTGTTAATTTGGAGCTTTCGGGCTTTATAGACATTAATTCTATTGCAAAAAAATTAGAAACATCTTCAGAGTCTAAACGATTTTTACGATATTTTAATTTTTAAGTGAGTTATGGGTATGTAAAGTATTCATATTAAGTATTCATATTAAGTATTCAACGAAAATTTGCTATGTCGTAGGTGTGTAAGACGGAGACAACACATCCGGGTGAGACGTCCTCTTAAGATGAAGTTTAAGATAAGTCAGTCGAAAGTTGATGTGTATACACTATACACTATACATATAGTTTTAATCTGTGGATTTTACCATCGGTGGAGTTTACGTGTTTTCAGGTCAAAAATACGTATCGGTGGAGTTTACATTTTTTTTTCAGGTAAAAAAATGTATCGGTGGAATTTACATGTTATAAATCCAACCCTAAAATCGACTACCTGTAAATCGGTGGAGTTTACAATCGCCCATTATACCTTACAGTACCTGATTATAGAATTATTACTATTATTGTAGTATTTGGTAATTAATGTTGGAAACCCCATGACGTATACGGTAATAATAATTATGGTATTTAAAACCCAAAAGTGTCGAAAACATATTTTGTCATTTGAACTCGATAGATTATTTTATTTTTTAAACGGACTGAAAAAAGTCAAGTCATTTCAACTACAGTCAATCATTAATCAAACTGATTTGTTGATGAGTTAAAAAAAAAATTGACTTTTCAACCACACTTAATAAGCACCACCCACCTTTGGTGGCTGATCCTGCAGCGGCGGTGGTAAGCGGCGACGCTGACGACGCGCCGCCGCCGTCGGTCAGCGGTAACTGTGGCGGTGGTGACGACGACGCCGTCGCGCAGCAACATTCGTCGGCGAACACGGACGAGTTGACGGTGGTGGCGGTGGAAGCGGCGTCGTCGCTGCAGCTGCTGCATGACGTCCGGATGCACGCGATGGGCGCCGCCGTCGACGACGACGCCGTCTTCCGCGGCGGCTGCGGTGGTTTCCGGAACCGCTCGGACGCGGATGGCAACAGCTGTTCGGTGTGCCTAGGCACGTCCGAGAAACTTTCCTGGCTGCCGCCGCTCGGTGACATGCACGGCGTAGGCTGGATCACCTGCAGTGGAACAACACAACGACACGAATGATAAAAAATGCATTAATAATTATTTGAATGTTGTACACAAATATTGTTATAATAATTACAAGTTACCATTGTTGGGTAGGGGTGCAATGTTGTAATGTATTAATAATAAAAATTCAAAAACGCCTTGGTCGGCCTTTGGATATCTTAAAAAATGCGTTGAAAAATTTACTTCTTAGTATTTAAATTATATAGATAGCGGAAAAGTGTGTTGTATAGGTATTAGGTATGTATAATAATATGCGAGATGGTAAAATTGCACTTGGTATAAAAAAAGAGTTTTCAACAAAAATGTCAAATTTAAACATTTTTAAAACACTAACTTGCCTTCCTGCTAAAAATGTAATATCTGGCATAGGTACTAGGTAATTAATATTTTTTTAAACATTTTAATTGTATAATAATTATGTATAGGTATTATATTATATTATACTTATATTAAAGAAATAATTTTTGGTAAAAATTATAAGAAAGTGAATTTGATAAAATATTACAAATAAAACTGTAGACACGAACCTGTAATATTATAAATACATGTTTTAAATTATATGCGAAAAGTGAATTAAATTAGGTTTAATATTAACGCTAAATTTATAAAATTTTTGTTAAAACGCCTCTTTTGAACCCGAGGCAGGTTCGACCATTACCTTTTTTAAATCAAATGCAATTCGACTTTACCCGTAATATGAAATCCGTTATTTTATCATTTAGCGTGCGCATTGCGCAAGTTAAGTTAAAAAGTGGAATAACTTTTTATTATTACAAAATGATTAAAAAATGCAAATAAGTAATAACACTTGATACGTAGGTACCTAATACGCGTAAAAGTGTAATTGTTATAAAACACAATAATATTGTACCTAGTACCTATACACAATATAACTATGACCGATCACGGGGAATTAATAAAATATACAGTTAAATGTTATAAATTATATAGTTTAACACTTTAAAGTACCTACCTACCTAGATATTTCGTGAAGTTACGTAATTTCATGCTTAAACGCTAACATAATATTATATCATAATGGTGAGTTTTTTTCACAAGACATTTTAACACGCTATAATAAGACTGAGAAAAAAGAATTGTCAGTATAATTGTTGTCGCCTCTTTAGTTATTTGTAGACATGAAAACAGTGGTGAGCGAGTACTAATTGTTCGCACATAAATTATTAATGTTACACGTTTGACATTATCTGACCACTGTAATTATAAATTATAATATATTTGTTTGTTTGTCCATAGTTCTGAATAAATTTGATGGTTTTTATTACAACGATACATTATGTGCAATAAAGAACAATTAACAAAAATTTTATATTGTGAAGAATGTCCTAAAAACTTAAGAACTTCCCAAAAAAATATTAATAATAATATAGTCTTCGGCTTAGAGGCAGTACCGCAGTGCGTGTTCTGACGTGGAGCTATTATGGGTATGGTGTTTATGGGGGTAGAAGTTAATAGTGGCACTCCCACCCGGGTATCGATCTTCCTGCTCGATATTATATACAATATATACTATATAGCCATATAGGTAATAATATAATATATAAATATTTGTTGTTCTTTTTTTTTTGTACTATATACTTTGTATAATATGTTTTCATCCGCCTCTATATATACGATCAAATTAAAAAATACATATATTGAACATGGTGTATGTTTAGGTTGTTCTAGTACCTATACTGACCAAATCGTAATTTGAAAAATACGTTTTATTGTTTAGTATGTCCAGAAGGGAATGTTTTGCCTACCGCGTGTGTGTATTACCCTATACCTCAGAAATGCTAAACACACCATTGAATAATTCACGATATAATATTGATAGTATATAAATTGACCGCATACCCGTTTACGACTCTACAACTATCGGCAAACAATTGCACCTATACCCCTGGCAATAACATAAAATTACGCAACAAAAATTATAGAATTTCTTTATATGTATATTGTATATGCATATTATATAATATGTTGTTAACTGTAGGTGGATGATAAGAAGAGAATCTGGAAACAATCAGCGAATAAACATGGTTTGACTTATTTAGAATTATTTAAAAGTTGAATTATATTCGAGAAATTTGTTTTTGTTTATAAATTCCTTCACACATCTGGATTAAAAGATTTTCGATTTATATTTATTAAATATGGATGTAGAAATCAAAACTATCGTCAAGCACTTGCGATATTTAAATTACTCTTATATTATTATGCTTATATTATTATTATTATGCCAATTACTCAGCATATAGAGAAATATTTAAGTAAAATAATACTATGTAGTATTTATTATATACATTTTATTATGTTACATTAAGTCGGTAACCAACTGAACGTTTAAATACCACTGTAGTGGACTCTAACAATTAAACTAATGGATCATTGTCTATTTATTTATTTATGGTTGGCAACTATTACAGTCATTACTCATTAACACAAATGAACAAAGTTAAGGGATGCATTTCCTTTAAGTTATTAACGAAATTAAATATTTTAATGACTCCGTTTATATATTTTTAAGTTAAAAAATAATTAAGTATACTTACAGATTAACCCAGGGGCATCCAAACTAACCGTTAAGCTTTTTGATCCTGCCCGCAACAAGTTGACAAATTTGTTGATAATATATTAATATATAATTCCAAGATCTCAGGTACATGTATTATGTTTGAGTTGTTATTGTGAGGAAATCGATCGAATTCAATGGTAATCAAATAATAATAACATTTTTCTCCTCTTTTTTCAATATCATTACCTAGTCAATAGTCATTATATTTCTACCCTTCTCCAAAACAATTTTGGCCCGCAATGTCAAAATGTATTTATTTTATTATTCACCCGAAGTAATAAAAGTCGATTTGGAGACCCTTGGGTTAACTTACTTTATATGCAATCCTATTTACGCTCATTATATAATATTATGGTAACATTAAAAAAAGAATAATTGGTTCAATTCGTATTTATAGGTAATTTAATATTTGATTATGATTAAAAGAACAATATAATAGAAGTACGGCGTACCTATACCAATGAGTATTCAAAAGGTACTCGATATTTTCAAATTGTTAACATATGCAAAAATATACATATACCTACCTACACTATTTGTACTGAAAACGTATACAAATAACGAAAAAAAAGCTAAGGAAATATACTAAACACGCGGTCGATCAAAGTCCTAACCAACAATACTGCTGCACGGTGACACATTTAGTTCAATCGAATAACGAATTGTTTTTAGTTGACAAGTAACTATCGTCACAAACAACGCGATACATCAGCTCGTCTCGTAGTTACTCCTTTGCAGGTTCTGTTGAGACATATTATATACTTTGAAAACAAAAAACGGATACCCTATTGAGGATTTAAATTTAAAAACCCGAGAAAGTCACCCTGCTGTATATTAGATATTGCATGTGATAACTTAGTGTAATGTATGTGCTAAATTTTAATTCATTATTCAATGATAAATAATTGCATACGAAAAACAATTCTTAGCAACATATAATTAGCGTATATTTCCAACAATATTTTATTATAATTTTGCATTACTGCTGGTCGGTAGTAATTAATTAATTAATTAATATTATAATGTTACAAGCGGTTACAGAGGATGCGATGCAGTGAATAGGTTCTGGTAGAAATAGCTTAAAATTAATCAAAATATATTTAAAATACTAATAATTAAGGTAGATAATAGCAAAAACTATCAAAAAGTTAAGTTTCTACGATTAATATTTTTTGAGCAATAAGAAAACAACAAAAATCGTTATTTTATACGTTTGAATGTTCAATGTCGTCAGAATTTAAAATTCAATACCTCGTAAAATATGTATGCGGCTGTACATTAGTTGACTTTTTTTTTTTAATTTCCAATAATCAAAACTTATGAAGAATCTTGTATTACATTTTCAACAATAAATGTTAAAATTAAAAACTATGAATTTCTACCTACACATTATTGGTAAGCTTTTGTGATTTTGATAAATATTGTATAATCGTTTTAACTTTAAATGCTTACATTTTTTTTTTACTTTACACATTTTATATTTTTTAATTAGTGTGTAAAAAACTTATGAGAAACCTATTGTAGTACAATTTTAAACTTTTTATTCAAACACAAACATAATATTATCATACATAAATCGAAAAAAAAAATTTTCAAATATCTATAAATAGCACAACATATTTTGAAAACTTCATAACGTTTATGAAATACTATTTTGAATATATGATCAAAAATTTAAGTTTCTAACAACTATTCATTTTTTAATTGTAACAAAATACAACCATAATTATTGAGTAAACATTCCTATTTTTCGTATTTTTGTTTTTAATTTTTTTCCGATTATACTGTAATGTTGCAGAGCGGTACCCACTTTTCCACATTTTAAATTTTGTTATAATGTGACTGCTTATGTTTTATGCTTTTTAAAAAAACCAAGAAAATAAACGATATGGGAACTTTATCGCTCACATATGTGTGTACTGTACAGTAGCGTTATTTTTTAAGGGCTTGATGGGTCCCATAATATTTGCTTGCACACCCATAAATATATTTACCAAGTTGCTGGCGTAGGTTCAACTAGGGTCAAAATTCTGAGGAGGGGCTACATACCACCTAACATAATTATTAATATAAAATAACCCACAGGGGGCTTATATATAAACTTATAAGGGATATTTGTTTGGGGGGGGGGGGTTAATCGTAGCCCCCTTATGCTCCTTAGGCCCCCTTGTTGCACCACTGGTAATGTAGGTAGATACTGGGAATTGCACATCATTAAAGATAATAATAAATATATAATAATGTTAATTACGTAATTAGTCATAGTTCATTGGCGATTGCATGATAGGAAATTAGTAAATTGAAATTCTTACACGATTAGTGATAACATTTAATACGTGAAGTTGTTCATTAATCAATCATTACATGCTTAGTAAAATAATTTTATATTATGCCATAAATGGAGTATAAATTAGTGAAAATCTTTTGAAGCAAAATAAATTACTTCATTGAATAATGAACATAAAGATAAATACATCGTAATATTGTATCTATAAGTTCTGAACTACTGTATTTTAGTCTTTAGGTACATTTATATAGCTTTGATATGAATATATAATATGTTTCTAACCTATAACATATATCTTATAACATACAACTTAATTTTTTGTTTTATTAGGGTTAAGGCTTCGACAACTTAGGTCATTAGACTGTGGTACTGTAGGGTACCTATTTATTACCTATTTATTATTCAATTTATGATTACAACAAGGATATTCTATTATTATACGATTATATATTATGTCCTGAAATATATTTTCAGAGTTTCGTAATTTGATTAATAATTAATCAAATTACGAATTTTTGAAATAAAATATTAGGCGCACTCCATTGATTAAACCGTGGATCGATTTTACACATTTTAGATTTAAACATAGTATAGGTAATATTATGTTCTGATGTTCAACATAGGTACACGGAGGTTACATGACATAACTTTTTACTATAACACGCTTCAGTTAGGTATATGTGTAATTCGTAATCATAGTAGTTTTGGTTTGGTATTATTTACTAATTCTACTAACTTGTATGTCAATGGGATAATAGAACTCCCACGGCGGGTAACCGGCGGGCGGTGGGTGGTTCAACGGAGATGGAGGCTGTCCAATAATCAACGATGATCCTCTAGCTTCCAAGTAACTCGTATCGTTGCTACTGACCGTTATGGCGCTATTTCCTCTTGGAATCCACTTCTGGTTACATGGTACTTCTAGCCATTTGGCCACACGGTAACCATTGTTAGATACTTCCTCAATATCATCGTTATCCATGTCATCGTCTTCGTCCTAATTGTAATTAAAAACAATTAATACGTATTCAAGGCGCAAGCTACAATTTGTATTATCTTATAAAAAATTAAAACGATTTTATATTCATATCTCCTACGATCACTGCATAAAATATTAATATAATTAATTTATTGTTTTAATTTTATTAAGATTCGTAGTTAATAAACGTATCAAATTAAAAAAAAAAAGTCTCAAATGAATACTTTAAAATTTAAGGGTATCTATACATTTGATTCATCTCTAGTCGAACATCATATTATGTTATTTAAATATTTATAGTACCCACAGGAATTCAAAGAATTTATTTATTCTTGAGGTAACTGTACATTTTTATTTATATACGATGATATTTTTCTTGTGTTTAACAAGTTGCAATAGAAAAAAAAAAGACATAGAATAAAGTCAGAAATAGAATGCCACAGAAGCCACAGGAAAAAAATCCAACTTGATTACATAATATACAAGTTAATGAACTAATTTTATTATTATAGTAATTGAGACTTATTTGTTACTATAATAACAGTGGTAACTACGGGAAGTGATATGGGTGATTATCACCCCCCAGAACATTTTTTTTGTTTACTGGGTTAACATGATTTTAGTTTATAATATTTTTCATTGACACAATCTTACTCATTCTCAATGGAAAATGTTTAGTTAAGTCTTAAGTCAAAAATAAAACTTTTTTGTTGTTTTTTTCAATATAATATGCTGATAAACATTTTTATTTCTAAGATAAATAACTTGAAAATTAAACAAACAAGGTGCCCCAAAAGTTTTTCTTATAGGAATTCAAAAATATCGAAAATACAGTCACAGTTTATTAAACCCATAATTGTTCAAAGAACAAATTTTGAAGAAATTCATCAAAACCACAAAAATATTGACAAATCAAAAAAATATATATAATATTTTCAATTTTGTGGTTGTTCATAATAGTTTAAATATTAAAACCAGGCTTGCAAATCTAATATAAGGTTTCTTATAAGTTTTTCTTATAGAATTTCAAAAATATCGAAAATTCATAAACACCCCCATTTTTTTTTTTTATAATTAAATTTTAACATAGTTGATTGTTCGAACGGAACAAACCGATTTTGCTTCAAACATTATGTTGAAATTTGTTATTTTGGTGTGAATAAAAAAATATTTATCCAGAAGCTTGAAACATTTCTAATGAAATTATTATTTATATACACGTGATGAGTGTTAAAAATATTGAGACTAATTTTAAGCTGCTTCTAAACATTTATAAATGTTTTAGTTTTTCGATACCGAAATGTAAAAAAAAAAATATGTTTCATGTAATTAATGTTTTGCAAACGTTTGATGTTCAAATGTTAAGAAAGTTTGTCATAATAACGAAAATATTCAAATTATGTTGTAGATAAAAATGTATAAAATTAGCGTCACACAGGTATACATAGGTACGTATATTATTATTTTATTATTAAAGTTTTCAAAATATTTATATTCATTTTAAGTTATTTATACCATGAAATTATTTACACTATTTGCCTGTACGTCGGTAGTCAAAATTATTTAAAAAATAATGTTATATTTAATTCAAAGCTATAATTACAACTAACTCTAAATAGTAAATAGTATATTTAAATTATTATTTATCACAATTAGGTAATTTATGTTTACTATTAATTTTTTTATGATTACCAGAATACCTATCAGTGTACAATATTATAATATTTTATGGCCGTGGATCTATAAGTAATATTAGTATTTTACCCAATTATTGCTCATTAAGCAACCTCATAATGTCTTATATTGGCTATCTTAACGCCAGTGATTCACAGTATACATTATATTTATATATTATAAAAATATGAAATAAGTCAAAGTATAATAATCCTGCAACCACTTCAACTTTAGGTTAAATCAATTTTCAATTTATGATATCAAACGTAAATTATTTTACTCTATATACTTATGCTATACTGCACATTGCTTATCTCATACGTTTTTATTTATTAATCTGTTTTTTTCATGGACATTTATTTCATGAGTGTCTTATGATTTTGTGATACATGATTGAATTATAATAAAAGTTCAAACTATATATCGATATGAATGTCAACATGATGTTTCAAATAAATTAATGATGTACCGTAAGATCTTATAACCACTCTAAAATTGGGTCACATTCAAAGTTGTTATTAATATTTTAAGACTCCAGCTTCTATAAGATCATAGACTTTTAGTATATAGGTATATATATTTACTTAAGGGGCCTCACTCGCTTATCGCTACAGTTTAGCTCAAAAGTCCTTAAGTTTTGACAAAATTAAAGTTAGTTTACTTTGCACTATTTTGATTCTGAAAAAAAATTTGAACTGGACAGAACACTTCGTGAAAATTAAATCTTATATTATTGTGAACTGTAGTTAAAAACTTGAATTTAAACTTCACTCATACATTAGTGTAATCATATACAACTAACACATATTTCTTAATAGAAATTGCCTAAATGTGGCCCCTTAAAAATATTAGTTACCTATAGACTGTAACCTATAATATGTAAATTTGATATATTGAGTAGGTATCTATTGACATTATATGGATTCGTTGTATTTAATAATTTATAAAGATATTCGTATTGTTCTATTCAGGTCGAATAAATACTTATTAGACCTTTAGTTGGTTAAGATGTTTATGTTTTTATGTTCATGTTGTTGGACATGATTTCTACCATATCGGACATATATATTTTTTGATCAAGGGGAATATCTATAAAAAAAAAACCCATTTATCATAATATAATATACCTATACTATTGAGTATAGTATGGTTCCCCGTTCGACAAACAAATAACATTTTTAACAAATGTTAAAATTCATAATGAAACAAAATACACTAATAACTAATAAGTAATAATTACAAAAAAAATTCAGAAAAACGTTAAAATATCAATCATAAACTAAAGGCCTTCAAAATTATTCATAATATATTTTTAGTTATATTATTTTGGAATTAAATTATTAAATATAGATCCAAAAGCTTAAATCTATACACTATACAGAAAATATACGGGAAAATTGAAAAAAGCTTTGGATAAGTAGTAAAAAAGACAAGGCATCAAATAAAAATATGAAATATTAATTTTACTCAAAAACAGCTTGAGATGCGATAGATGATCTGTTTATTTTATGTAACCATATTGATACTTCTTTTTATTAGTTCTTTTACGATGTTATATATTTTTTTCAATGCGAGGTCAGAAGTTTTTCATTCCTCTAAAATTATTAAATATCTATCAAAATATCAACAGTTGGTAAACCCTAACAATTATAAAAAATATTTTAACATAGCTATAATGCCTAATACATTATGATTCACTAAATAAATATTAATCACAAATCCTAAGAATTAATAATAATGAATGATAATATATACATAATATATATTTAATTTATATTATTTTTCTTATTTGTATTAAAAAGATTCAATTTTAAAATGGGAAATGGACAATGGTTGAGTAATCAAGTTTAAATTGTATATGTAATTTCAAATTTGCATATATTTTAATACAGGATTTTGTACCGTATAAAATGTGTATAATACGGTATAATACAAAAAATTATTATACCATACTTAAATACAACAGTATTATACAAAGTTTAATACACGTTTAATACAAGGTATAATACAAAAAAAAAAAAAAATACTGTATTTTAACATCACTAGGCTAAACGTTATGAACTTAATCAATTTATTAAACAATTCCGTATTCATTATTTTTCGTTATAAACTTTTTCAAGGTGTGGGAATTTAAAAAAAAACATTGATTATTAATTGACTCTTTATTAAATTACCTAACTAAAACATTTTCTCATCACTCAAAATGGCTACGAGCCATCACTGCTCTTATACCGAAAAACGCCAATTAATTAGGTACCTAAATGACATTTTACACAACATGCCATAACATTAAAATTAAATTGTCTTTATCATACCTATAACAATTAATTTTAAATGATGGGAAGTCAACTAAGCTATTAATTTCAGTTAGTGAAATAAGTAAAACAAATGTAAATCTATTTAACTAATAATAATAATTTAACTCTAGGACTGTTATTTTAGATTTTAAGAGGAGCGACTAAAATACTTTGGTTTTTCAAATATGTGTTTTAACTTTTATACTTTTATATTTTTGTCCGTTATCGTGTTTTGAACTAAAAAAATATTCAACTGATAGTTTGTGGGATAGATCTAACTTATTGGGGGTCAAAAATAGAAAATTCTCGGTACTTTTTAAAATTACTGGAAAAAAAATAACGAAAAGTGGCTGAAAACTGCGAGTATTTATGCAATACCTACCAGTTTTTGACCAAACAGATAAGACATTGCGATGAATATTGGTTGACCGTTTCAGGCTGTTATATAATATACATCGAAATTAATGTGACATCTATAATTGGTTGCATTCAAATAATGAATTTCGATTTTTTTGTACGCGTGTTCGATAATAATATGAGTAATATATTTTAATCAATGTTAATATTGTTATGAATTATAAAATATTCTGAGCAGTTTTTATTTTTATTTTGGTAACTGTTTATATTTTATCATTTCCTGGAATATTTATATGGATTACCTATAGAAAATTATAAATTATAAATAATTTATACATTTACCACATTAGATAACTAAATTCGATAAACCGATTATTATCAAATAAATAAAATAAAATAAAATAAAATTCTCTATCAAAAAATATCCATACCGGTGTTCAGTTTTTATATTTTCAATAGTTTGCTGATCCCGTACTGGTATTTTTAATTTATTTTCCAAGACCTGTTAGCAAGTAGACTAAATTCCATAATATAAAAAGTCCATGATTATATTATAGCTAGGTATATCAAGGAACTAGTTTATTATTTATATACGGTATATACCTACAAAGTTTTTATTCCTATGTTTTTTTAATAAGGATAATTTGATGTTGAGTAAATATTTTGAATTAACTCTGACAATTTTAAACCAACTATTTGAAAGACAACTTGTTATCCACAAAAATATAATTTTCACATGAATACCTAGCTCAAGTTTCATAAATGTAGTTTCAAATAATTATTTATTGCATATTTGCATATCGAACTATGAAGAAACTATAGGTTTAAATATAGGTAGCTTATGCTGAAATTATAGTCAGGTTAGTCAGATACGATAATAATACTATTAGTACTAGCTGAAATCTACCAAACAAAATAAAATGTTAGTTAAAATAAACTATACTTCAATATAAATATTTTTACGCAGAACAAACATAACTACTTATTATTACCTTATTAAGGTTTCATTAACAAAGTACAAACCAAAAGTCCAAGAGGGATGGCCAAGTATAAAGAGCACGTTCCCAAAGCTAATTTGTCTTAAAATCATATCCTTATAAAAACAAATAAGTAAGGAAATAGAGAGGTAGGTATATAAGTACAAGACTTTAAAAGATCCAAAAAAGTTTTCACTAGAGCTTAGAAGCTCTTTAATCCTGGTTTCTCGGAGTGCTAACAAATTCATTCGTGCTAAATAAAAAATTTAAAGTAGGTTTTACAAATTTTAATTATAATTTAAAATACCTACTCTGTTTATTTATTTTATTTAGGTATGCCCGTTGTAGTATGTATGTTTATTTATCGATACCCCGGAAAATTAATTTTATTTATAAATAGATTAAATTAAACATTTAAAATATAAAAGTAAATTATTCAAAAAGCATTACCCATAAATTATTTTCTCACTAAAAGAACACTTTTACTTTTACTAACCTTTACTGTTAAGATTAAATTTTAATTAATTACAACAGATACGAAATCGAATGGTAAATGTAGCATAGACATTTTAAAAGAAATAGATATAAAGAATATTTATTTAAGAAATAAATTACACTATTACTTATTCACATTTTCACTACAAGGTACTTACCTCTTCGAAAGAGTATTCTAGTACTGATGATTTCATAAATTTGTTGCTGGTTTGAGTTAAAGCCGAATATGGATGATGATATTGAGTTTCTGAAAGATAGGTCTTAGCTTTACGGTTCCAATTATTACACTCTGCAACAGTGTTCTCTGTCATACTATATCCTGGTGACAAAATAAATAATTTTCATTTAATAAATACATTACACTTTAAACAATTATTTTTGTTACTCGGAGAACATCTACAAAGACCATGGCCAGAGCAATAGCTTGAGCTAGAACTTCTTTTAGCCAAAGCAGCCAGTTGTTCTTCTTGGTCCACAGCCGCTTTGATGACCGCCTCGAGATGTTGGTCAGAAAGTGAACGAGTTTTACATTTACTCTTGTACAATACTAATAGAACCATCATTAAAAAAAATCCTCCTAAAGTGGATGCAATCCTAATCTGCAAAATAAATATAGTCACACATATTATATTATAAAATGTGTAAAATTAACATATAATTATTATTATTTAGTTTTTAAGTTCTTTACTCCAGTCATCACGTCGTAAGTGTTATAAAATTCGGCTCTAATAATTTGTCGTTTAATCATGATGTCTGATTCAGTGGCATTTATGTAGTTATCAACGCTATCTCCCATCGCTTGGGGGCTGTACCCCAAACCGACATACAATTACTTTCATGTCATTCCTATTGACGTCTCTGCAAAAAAAAAAAAAAATACATACATACATAAATAGATGTTCTAAGCCTGTAGGACTTGATTATTCTGTTTAAAAAAAAATAATAATTAAAATTGTTTTATTTATACCATGTTAATGTCATAAATGACACGCAAATACAAAATAAAGGAAGAGTAATAAATTATCGTTTGTAAGTAAGCACTTTTGAGTAGGGATAGTTGTTTTTAGTGGTGTCATATGCATATCACATTTTTTCATGAGACATAAAACAATATACCTGTATATAATATAATAATCAATGCCAAAATACCGAAACCGTTCGCTTCAGTCGTAAAATAAAAGTAATTACATGGGTACCCGCTATTTACAAAAAAAAAAAAACCATGGGATACTAATGCACACGCGCGCATCCCACAAATTACACCAATGTCCTATTATTATTTAATTAGTTAAACCATGGTTTACCATTTGTACTATGAATAATTAATATATTTATAAGTTTCATATCTTAGATTTTGAGCGGAGCGATGAATGTAGGTATTTATTTCTGAAAACGATTTATTGTTGCAGATATTTTGTAAAATTAAAAACATCGAACTAATTTAAAGCGATGACTTATGTCAGTTAAAGAACCAATAGGCGTTCTGTAAAAGTTGTTGACTAATATTATCCTGTAAATATGATTTGCTAGTAGGTAGGAACATCTTCAAACCGATCAGTCCTAAAATATTTACATTTTGAGTGTAATATAGTAATATGTCTTTTTTTTACATTCAATATATTATAACAGCTGATTTATGACTTAAATATTATGGATATTACATCTTTCTCTAAAATCTAGTTATAAAATCATCAATGTTAAAGTAGTCTGGTGATACAAATTTTATTCAAGAGTCATCCAAACGTTGCAGATTTAAACAGAACGCAATTGTGTTTGGCTTACCTAATGTCCATAAGTATATCTGTACTCTGTATTTTCACTTCACTATCAGACATCAGATTAGTATAGAGTATACCAATATTGCTACTGATAATAAATTATTCCTTGTTGGGCTGGGTTCTGCGAAGAAACCCTGTTACAGTTATGTTTGGTTATAATATTGACGAGGACGTGATTTATTCTAAAATTTCTTCGGTGGTGTGTAACGGTCATCACTTACGTTTCACGTTTTAAAATGAGCTTATTACGAAAGATTTATTGGAGATTCAGAAAATATTGATTGGGATAACATTTTGTCAACGTAACTAAATGAAAATCCAGTAAAATATCTATATAAATCACTTTTAGGTATTATTCATCAACGGGTGCCAATACACACTTTTTGCAAATCCAAATTTCAACGTTGATTTTGAAAAGAAAAGACCTTTGTCTGAGAAGAAACAAATAACAATCTAATAAAATGCACATCATTAGGTATTATAGGTCTTACAACTTTTATGTACCTACTATGTTCGCTCCATAAATTAGTATATAGAAACATTAGGAACTATATGCAATATGCATACTTTGAGTAAATAACTACGAGTATGTAGGAGCAGCCTTGAAGAAAATCCCAGATTTTTTAGGATTTTATCTACAATCACCAAGGAAGTCACACCATTCCCAAAGCAGTTAATCTTGGCGCTGCAAAGAGATTGAGCGCTTAAGTAACTAATCTATTCGCCAAAATATACATTTATCTGTTTATGTCGAGAATATGATTTTTAAAACCCAATTAAATATAATTACTTCAGATTAATTTCCATTGAAGAGGAAAGCAAGAGGTTCAACGAGGTCTATGCAGCTCTGGACTAGTTGGAAAATACTCGTGGATCGAATGTACGAACTGGAGAATTTCTGGTTATTTCTTAATTCAGGTAACTTGAAGTAAGCTCAGAAAAAATAAAAAATAAATTTATAAAAATCATGTTACTTAAAGTGTACCTACCTACCTATGCCAGAAGTCAAAATATTTGACAATAGTCTAGACTTAAGTTATAGAAAAAAATATCACTCCTAAAAGATAATTATTAACTCACAAGATAATTAAACTAACGCAAGACATGGGACTCAAGGCTATAGGCTATGGAGAGGTAACAATTTTTTTTTTTAGACACTTGTAGTTTTTTTGTAATATTTTTTCGAAGCTTATTCTTTATTAATTGATTATGTATTTCATTTACCCTTATATGTTATAATTTTGCATTATTACTAATTGATCATATTATCTTACGAACTTAGAAAACATTTTATACCTATCTATAATCTATATTATATGATGGACGGAAGTCAGATACCAGTGGAGGTACAATATTAATGATACGCACTGGCATATCTATGGTTTTGACACCAATTAATATTTGTAAATAATAGATTATCATTTATCCACCAAATTGTTTTATTTGGGAATTGGGATACTATATTTATATTTTATATTTTATAATTTATATCACAGGTAACGATGAATTCTTTTAGCTGTTGCATTATGATATTTTTTTATTTTCCTGTAAGTATAATATAGTTTTACACGAAAATTAATATTCTGCAGTATTTTAATTTACTACGCCGTATATTGGGATACCTATTATTCTGTTCGTTATTATTATTACGCATTGAATACTTGATGCACAAAATTGAAAACCTTTCTCGACATGTTCAGTGTTTACTGGTGTTCACTGCGGTTTTGTGTTTTTATTTTCAAAATAACGAATAAAATATAGGCCATATCCACTGTCTTTTCGCAATATTGATCTTTCCGGTAAAAGGCACTGTGAACCAACTTCATTCGAATACTGCGGGTACTTCATCACTTCCGCACTTACCATCGCCATCGCACAACCCAGCCAACACAATTATGTGACACACGAGCGCAATCTCGGTATCCGGAACAAGGCTTTCGGACGTTTAATGAACGTCAACTGACAAACATATAATTTATCAGACCGAAACGTCGGATATTTAACGCCTGTACAGTTATCTGCGTATAAATGCATTACGGGGGTTAGGAGTTGGGTATTATACTTCAGTAGTAGGTACCTACGACGGATGCTGTACGTTTTAACCACATTTTATCACATTTTTACCGGTCAAATTAAATGACGTTTTCAATTCAATAATGAATTAATATTAGTGTAATGCTTTTTTAAAAGTCGAAATTAAAGACTTATTTTCTAAGTATATTTATTTATTTATTTATTATTAAGTATACGCCCAATTATTTGGGCTCAGAACAATTATTTTTCAAATTGTACAAACATAAATAAAATTATACGTAACAACATAAATCTACAACACCTAAATCTTAAACATGTAATAGGTACCGATACAATTAAATGAGTGATTTTAACCCGCTTATAAGTTATCATTGTAAAAATCCCTATTGTTTATTGAGTTACCTGAGATAAACATTAATATTATTGTTGATCGGAGAGAATTGACTATGATTTTGACGATAATTTAATAGGTGTATAGAACGTTCTTGACACACGAGTATTAGTTTGAGGACCTTTTAAAGCTGTATGTTACTGTGATTTGTTCAATAAACTATGTTAATACAAATAGAATTTCATATATTTTCAACACAGATAATATGAAATAGTTTACTTATAGGTAGGCAATAGATATAATATAATATAATATATGTATCCGACACATTTACACAAACTTTCAAATCCTTATAATATGTATAATAACTTATTAATTGGGTAGTTTGTTATTTATACTGTATATATATATATATACAGTTTAAAATCAATAAATTAGGCGTAGGTATATAAAATATTATACAATCGATAATACACAGAAAAAACCTAATTAATTTTTTTCGTGAGCAATTTCATTAGGTCACATGACTTGCGAGTTATGGTTCCTATATAATGCAGTTATTTAATTTAACCCTGTTATGTTTTATCCTGTGTAATTCGGTCGCAAAACACTAGCATAATAATGGGTTAATTTGTGATCGCTTACAAGTACATATACGACTGGGGAACAACAAAAATAATATCATAATATTTGACCATAGTAATACTCGGGTACCGCACGTATTGGCAATATTATTAAAGTGTGATTTATCAGCTATTATAATGTTGAATGAAAAATGAATCATTATAATATACACGACATCACGAGGTGTTTATGTGTGTGTATATTGTGTTTTTGTGTTTATGATACAGACTTGAAATGGAAGTGTAAAAAACCGAGGAACTCGCCTCTGTTGTATAGTAGGTTTTGAATGTGGGTTACATTAAATGGATGTGTTAAATGTTAATTAAATGATACATTTCACCAGGTCCGGCTCAAGAGGTAGGCGGCATAGGCCCACGCCTAGGGCGGAACTTTAGCAGCACTTCAGTAAGAGGGCGGAATTTTCAAAACACTGATAATATTATATTGTTAGGGGCTGCAAAATTTGATTTTGCCTAGTTCACTATTTTCGATTGAGCCTGTCCTGCATATCACTAAACATGAAAAACGATAAGTTTTAAATTTGCCAAAACATAGTACCTATATATTATTATAATAAATTATTGTTATTATAGCTTATAAGTCAATACCAAAAACATACTGTAGAATGGTGTGAATAGCTTGAAATAAGTCTCAATATTTGGAAATGCCATTGTGTATAGAAAATTATAGTTGTTTACCCAATACGAAAATGTTTTAAGTCCCTAAGGTAAACGATGATACAAGCGGTGAATAGATACTATATTGGGATCGGCAGGATATTAAAATCAACGATCTTATCGAAAAACCTAGACACAAATTTACCACGCACTAATGCGACCTGCACTGATTTATGACTGCTAAACGTGGGCGTTAAATAAGGTTTATTTATAGAACATAATAAATTAAAGACTTTTGAAAGAAAAATACTGAGACAAATGTTTGGACTATGTATAGATGAAAGGCATGGAGAATGGAAGATCTGAAGAACTATAAGACAGTTAGATTAAAAGCCTGACATCATAGAGGCAA